GCGGCTGCTCTGGCGCCCCCAGGAGGCCGAGAGGGCAACGCTACCCGCGCCCAGGACCGCAGGTTCGAGACCCCATCCGGGCAGCGGGGAGAGGGGGCTGGGGGGCGTTTGAAGGGGGTCCTGCTGCGTGCACGAGGGCTGCTGCATTGCACGGCAAGCAGACGTACACCCCTACATATGTACACTCAGACCCATAAATACACAGACACGTACACACCCCTCCATACATACACACACACAGTACACATAAATACACACTTCTGTATGTATTTTATACATACCCAGGGCAAACAAGCCCTCCGTGCCAAAAGGCATCCCTACTGCTTAGGGCAAGAGGTGCCCTGTCTGCTCTGGGTGTGGTTTTATCACCCCACTCCAGGCCCTTCCTGCAGTTTTCCGGCCAATTTAGGCAATGGGAGGGAGCAGGGAAAGGGGACATCCCCATGCCAGCCCCTGTATTACAGGGTTGCAGAAGTGCCTGTCTGAGCATGGAGAACAGCTGAATTAGAATATTTAGGTCAGAAACTCTTTTCAGCCTAATTTTACTATGCAAATTTAAAGCAAATCAGCTTGAGTAAGAAGTCAGGTTTTTCCAGACCAGATAATAGGTTCCCGTAGCCTGACCCCTTCTGCTGTTCCTGCACCGAGCAATAACCAGCACCCGCAGCAACGCCTTCCCTGGGGCAGCCCCGACATAAATCCAGGACATCATGCTGCCTACCTCAGCAGTGAACCCAGGAGTGGAGGAGCTGCCACCCGAAGCTCAGCTGTGCCCCATATCACACCAATCTCCCCAAACCATCCAGCTGCTTCCTAAGAGGGCAGAAAACTCTCACAGCTGCAACTACCTGATTGCCAAAGACAGCAAATCTCCCCCCCACGTCACTGCCATGCCCAAAAGCCTGGTGCCGGTAGGTTTGGAGAAGCAGAGCCTATATGTTGTCGCCTTTGCCCGGCCTCTTCCCGACTGACTGGCACCGTCCCGTTGAATCACAGTCCCCTGACTGCTCCACAGTGACCCAGTGCAAAAGCAGGGTCTCGGCTGTCATTTCCCGGTGGCCACGGCGGAGATGTTTGCTGGGCACGTCGCTGGTCTCACGCCGAAGCTGATGCAGGGTTCAAAGCGGGCTGTTCCCCTTCTCATCCTCGCACAAGTTAGGGGAAGGAGACAACAAATATGGTCCTTGGTTCAAATATAACCAAGGATGTTTTTATTTGGGTCTTCCCCTGCTCCGTACCACCCCCACCCCGAGAGCTTTGCTTCCCCAGCAGAACTTCAGGCAGAGAGATAAAGCAGTACCACAGAGTTTTGGTTGAAATCTATGCATACCAGCTCTTTATTCACAGCTTCCCGGGACATAACAAGCTGAATTTTCTGCTTGTAAGGGCCAGCCACATCAGCACCAGTCCCCAGCAGTCATGAAAACCATCCTCCTTCTCATCCCAGTCAGCCAGGCTGCAATCCCTAGGGCCAAACCTCCCCTGCCAAGCTTGGAAAGCCCAGAAATGCAAATAAATACACAACTTTAAAATACACTTATTGTTACTGAGAACGGTTTAATGGCACAGCTCACATTGCTTTGGCACATTCCACTCCTCGGGCAAGACCTGCTGGCAGCGCAGCCCTTCCCACAGCCACGTGCACGGGGGCTGCAGTGGCTGGGTGGGCTCGATGCAGAGGTGCGACCTGCCCCATAAATCACCACCCTGGGAACACAGAGAGCTCCGTTTTGCAGGAAACATGACTGTGACAGATGTGCAAAACAAAAATCTGTGCTGAGACCTGTCATTACCACTTGGAAAACCAAAATGTGTCCACAAACCCTTTTTAGCTGCCCCTTCCCTACAGCAGCCATTGCTGAGGAATACAGGGCTGCACAGTGTTATGTTTACTCTGGAGAAATTAGCACCCAAGTCCTGGTTAAATCAGATTCCTCTTTGCCCAGCACAGCCTTGGAAGGCTCCAGGAGCTGTACTGCTGTGTTATTAGTTTAATGAGCCTGCCCTGATGAGTCCCAGCCCCGACAATCTACATCAGCAGCCTCAAAGGTGGAAGCCATCGCTCAGCCCACCTGCCAAGGAGGTTTTGCACATCCCCCTCAAGCACGGGTAGAGGACGAGGACATTTGCAATGAAGAGGAGAGGCCAGCATCCCACCTCCTCCCCCCAGGTTGCCTAGAGCAGACGAGAGCAGCTGGAAAGCACTGCGCCCAGGAGAGATTATTTCAGCATCAGACAGGCCCAGCTGGGGTCGGTCAGGACTCATCCACCCCAGCTGATGCTGGTCATAACCTCCCTCAGTCAACAATTCTTCACCCAGCACAGCGCTGCCCCCAAAATAACAACAGGTACCTACACAGCTCCGATGTTACTCTGGTTCCCTACAGCAGCCATTGCTGAGGAATACAGTGTTATGTTTACTCTGGAGAAATTAGCACCCAAGTCCTGGTTAAATCAGATTCCTCTTTGCCCAGCACAGCCTTGGAAGGCTCCAGGAGCTGTACTGCTGTGTTATTAGTTTAATGAGCCTGCCCTGATGAGTCCCAGCCCCGACAATCTACATCAGCAGCCTCAAAGGTGGAAGCCATCGCTCAGCCCACCTGCCAAGGAGGTTTTGCACATCCCCCTCAAGCACGGGTAGAGGACGAGGACATTTGCAATGAAGAGGAGAGGCCAGCATCCCACCTCCTCCCCCCAGGTTGCCTAGAGCAGACGAGAGCAGCTGGAAAGCACTGCGCCCAGGAGAGATTATTTCAGCATCAGACAGGCCCAGCTGGGGTCGGTCAGGACTCATCCACCCCAGCTGATGCTGGTCATAACCTCCCTCAGTCAACAATTCTTCACCCAGCACAGCGCTGCCCCCAAAATAACAACAGGTACCTACACAGCTCCGATGTTACTCTGGGGAGAAGGTCAGATTAAGCATCCAATTATGTCTCGGCTCAACAGCCTGGCCCACCCAAGTCCTGGTAGGGACTAAACCTCAAAATTTTAATTAACAGCAGTCCTCATTAATTGAATTCCAGCTCTCAACAACCACAGCAGGGTGCAACATCTGTTTTATTTCTGAACCAAGACCACTGTGGGTTGCTCAAGGACGCTCGGAGCTCTGGGACCAGAGGGCAGCGAGTTATGGGGGATCAGCGTCACCAGGAAGGGTCATGGGTTTGTGCAGGGACATGCCAGCTGGTCCCAAGCCAACACCCTAGGACAGGGCTGGCTCTGCTGGTTGAAGACAAGCCTGCAGCAGAGGGGAGGGCCTGGTTGTTGTGCTGCCTACACAACCCAGCTGCTGCAGGCTGCATCTGCTGAGGCAAGGAGATCTCTGGGAACTCCATGCTTATTTTCTTCCCAGTGCAGAACAAGAACTTCTTCATGTTGGTCCTTCCCAGAGCTGCAGGACTCTCAGAGTCACTCTGTAAAACCTTCAGTGTGCTTGCTTGCTTTTTCGCAGCTCTCTTGGACCTTGACATTTGCTTTTTCACCCACATCAGAGCCTCTGTGTGGGTGTCACTGGGCTCAGCTCCTGCACGTCACCATTTCCAATATCCAGCTCTACCTGTATCCCTGTTGGCTGCAAGGAGAAACAGAGGGGCTTAAACTCACACTGCTGGGACTTTGCATCACTCCATCACCTGTCCCAGAGCCAAAAATCCCCAATTACAACCCCTTGAGGATTTCTTTCTCCTGGTGCCCTCATTTTAACTGGGTCTGCTGAACACAGATACGTAAATAGAGAATGCAATTTAGTAAAGAATGAACATCTTGCTCTGAGATATCCCCAGACACACTATTACTTAGCACATCCAGGATGCATTTCGCTGCCCAGTGCACCACCACATCCAAACCCATTTGGATCAGGCAGCAGAACAGGCTCAGAGCCAGGAGGCTCAGACAGTACTACCCCGTATGTAGGCAGGATGCAAGCCAAAGTCACCTCTGCAGGTGTCGGAGCCATTTCTGCAGGACTCTCACTGCCCACACACGATCAGGAGAGTGAGACAAGCACAAGGTACACTGTGACCTGGGTTAGAAGTGGTGCCTATAAATACAAGCTCAGGCTGTTTGGAACAGATGCTCTTCTCTTCCATAGCACACAACCAGGCTGCATTTGTCCCTCTCCCATTGCCATGGGTCACCCAGGGAGGCCTGATCCTGCCCTACCCCCGGCACGAGCCTTCTTCTGCTCTGGAGCCAGGTACAAGTCCTGTACCTGCTTCTCCACTGCCAGAGGGACCAGTCAAGAGAGCCTCACCTGCCGGGGTGACTTTGCCAAGGAAGCGATGCGCTGTGAGGTGGCTTTCTCCAGGGTGGTTTCTTTGCTCTCCAGCAGCACCCGGGTGCTGGGCATGAAACTCCAGGAGCGGCCAAGGGCTGGCTTCAGTGGGCCAGTGCTGCTGTCCCTTGTCACTTGGTTAGTCACCTGCAGCACAGACAGGCTTATCAGCACACGGGAAAAGCAGTGCCACTCAGTGTAATGAAACTGGAGATCACCAGGAGATAGTGGCCAATCTGATATTTCTGTGAAGTTTTTTCTTCTCCTTCCTGCGACCTTCTTGGCACAGACATGCCATCCCTCTAAATGCAGCCCACGCAACTGTCTCAGGTACAGACTCAGGTAGAAGCTCACTCATATCTGCAAGCTGCAGTGACCCCTGGTGCTGGAGCAAAGTTTAACCTGGAGCCTCCAAGCACCCTTCCAGTCACCCTTTGTCCCTCTACCGACTGCCTCAACACCTCCCAGTGCCAGGTTCACCATTTTCTGTCATGGCCTTCCCAATTCAGACACACTCACTGTGGTCCCTGCAACCTGGCTGGGTGCACTGAACCAACAAAACTGCTTGGCCAAGAGCTGGGGAAGACTAGAGCAGGGCCCCTTCCAGTCCCCAGCTCCTTCTGCATGATGCAATGCCCTGCAGTTCCTCCCAGGTAAAGAAGAGGTTACTTAGTAAGCTGGCTAGTCCCATAAATGTATGGTGTTATATCAAAAATAAACACAAACAACCTGTCAAACTGTCTGTACTTAACTCTGTAATTTAACCTTGCTCAATCGCGTGAATGCCTTGTTGGCTGAGGACAGCAATAAAAGCAGGCAGCAAATAAGTCAGTGCTCCACACCTGCTGGAACAAGACATCTGTGTGCTGCAGAGCAGCAGAGCTACATCAAGGAGCAGAGCACTGTGGGACAAGGGCCTCTTGCTCCTGCTTAGCTGGGAGCAGGATGCCCCCCTCCCAGGAGCTCCAAAACCTCTCCAGGGCTCCTCGCCATGGCACATGCCAGCACACAAAGGAGAAGGCACAGCAACACTCACCACAACAGCAAGGCTGAACTCCCTGGCCAGTGTCTTCAGCTCCCTGGCCAGCTGCATCATGATGGCCAGACCTGGAGGAGAACAAAGCATTTGGGTCTCTGGGGATCAACTGAAAGAGAGGGAGCAACCCCCAAGGTGCTTCTGGGAGGCAGGTGACATCTGGATTTACACAAGCACTAGATTTAGTGCTACTGCTGGTGTTCACGGACACCTTCAACCCATTTCCACTACGAGCACTCCAAGGTACCCATTGCACCCACACCCAGAGCACCTCAGATTTAGCATGGACAGACCAATCCTCAAGTTGTCCCACCCCCTCCTTTCCCATCTTCAAAGTCCTGAGGCCAGAACCCTACAAAAGCAGCAGGAACTCCAGACAAACCTGGCCAGGCTGATTTAGCAGGTATAGGACCCCACTCACAGCTTCATTTCTTACCAGCCCACAGCTGCGAGGGGACATCCTGTGGCAGCACCTGCTGCTACCTAGGTGTGCAAGACCCTCTGGAAGGTTTTTGAGGGGCTTCCTTGGCATCTCAGCAAGCAGAAAGTCCCTCACTCCTGATTTATGGTCTGTTTTGACAAAAAGAGCCTCAGGAGAGATTTGCAAACTGTGCCAGCAACCATGATGGATCTGTGACACTGTAAGCAGAGGCTTTACTCTGTGGGCAAACAGTTCAGTGCCTCCTCTGTACCCTGTCCAGGTTTCAGACCATCATCATGAGCTTGCATAGCCACAGCCAGCTGGATTTTTGCCAATAACTCCGCAAACAGTCTCCCCTTTTGTCCAGTTGAAAAGGATAAGCTGGGAGCAGTCACACCCACATGCATCCTGCCCCAGATACAGGCACACCATGCGCAGGAGGAAGATGCTCTTCAGAACGAGCAGAGGTCTGCAACCTCACTCCACATCCTAACGAAGCAGCTCACCCTCTGACTGCTTGCCTCCCAGCAGTGGGTAAATCACAGCAGAGACCGAGTCGATCACCACAATCTTGAGAGGTCCCACGGAGCTCACCACCTGAAAGAAGGAGGCACCGTATGCAATGTGGAGTGACAAATCCGGCAGTTCTGGAGGTCGTGAGCTGCACAGACGTCCCGAAGTCCCAAGCACAGGGTGATCTGGTGTCACTCATCATGCACACAAGCCTCACTGCCTTCCTTGCAGCTCTGGGGAAGGGAGAGAGGCCCAGACCCTCGCCCCTACCTGCTGGGAGAAGCGATCCCGCAGCTCCTGCAAGGCACTCAGCATTTCATAGATGTTGAACACACGGACCACCTGGATCCGCTGCAGAGCCTCCAGCTGTGGCACAAAGTGGCATCAACAACAGCCTCATGCTCTTCAGGACCCACCATATTCCTCCTGCCCAGCTGCTACTAGCTGTCTGCATTTGTACCATGACGTGGAGTCAGGGACCTTTATTTCTTCCACGTTTGCCCCCACCCCACAAACACTGCTGTCTCCACTGCACTGGTGGAAGAAGCAATGCGGACTGAGCTCAGGGAGCTCTCCCCTCCTCCCCAAGAAAAACACAAAGTGCAGTGTCTGTCCCTGAGCACAGCACCCACCCAGCCACGGGATGAAGAGTTTGGACCCAAAAAAGCCCATGAGGAGAACAGCAGAGCTGGACAGAAAAAACATCTCTGGGGGTTGTCTGCAAGCGTGACCCAAGGTAGTTTTAGCACAAGTGAAGGGGCAGCAGCAGGACCAGCTCCCCAGGCACTTGCCTTCTCTTCCTCATCCTCTGCCCGGGACTGAAGCATCTGGTAGAGACGGGAGGCAGTGAATCCACCCGTGGAGTCAAGAAACAGGACGTGCTGCTTGAGGACGAGAGACACGCTGGCTGAGATGCCCAGGCACACCTGGAGAGACATAGACCGGTCAGCCAGCCCTCCCAGGTCCCTCTGCTTCCCCCGCCTGAAGGCATCTTCACCCTTCCTGTCCTCTCCCCTCCTCTGTCCCACTCACCTGTGTCTTCCCACTGCCTGGTGCTCCCATGAGCTCCGTCACTTCCCCTGTGTACAGCCCAGAGTCCAGCAGCTGGTCCAGGCTATGGGTTGAACACAAGGTGAGATTATCAACATATCTTCAGCCAGAATGGCAGGGGCATCGGGAAGCAGCAGCCCCCAGATATTTGTCCCTAGACTCCCCTTCCCTAATGCACAGAAGTGCCTCAGGCTCTGCTCCTTCCTTCCCATCCCTGGCTCTCTCCAAACTGTGGGCAACCGCAGATCTGCAGTGTGGTGGGTACAAAAGGACAGTCCTGAGCTGGAGAAGAGCTGTGGTCCTGGGAGCTGGAGAAGAGGTGAGGTCCTGTCCTCCTGCCATGGGCAGGGACATGCAATAGAATAGCTCATTTCCATGCCTGATCTAGACAGTTTTGGACTACCATCACTCAACAGTCCTTTCAGATCCACAGCCCTCCTCTCCGGAGCCCTCAAGGGAAAGGCTGAAGGCAGCAGTGTAGAAATGAGACACACAACCACTTCCCAAAAGGAGTGCAGCTCTCGCAAGGACAATGGCAATGTCATTCCCTCAAGGGACACAGACCAACTGGCTTTGCAGCCAGAAGACATGAAGAATAATCACGTCTTGCTCACAAAAGGCAGAGCCAGGCTGTAGCTGGAAGTTTTTAACACAGCTGCCAGGGACAGTTTGGACAGCACTGAGCCTGCTCAAGGCACTGCCACACTGAAACCCAAAGCCTGTGTTGGGCAACCATGGCCTTCTGCAGCAAGCCCAGCCCTGGGCAGACCTGATGGCTTCCTGAGGGAGGTACCCACCTTGGGCTCCCAGTGGGCAGGATGGCTGTGGAGCTCTTGAGCTCCTCGTAGAGGTCTGCTCCATTGGCAGGGAAGGCAGAGAACTGGGCCAGGAGTACACGTCTCACTGCAACCAGCGCCTGGTGGACAGAGACATCTGGAAACAGGTGGCCCTGCAGTCCAGGGCCACCAACATCCACTGCAGAAGATCCCCCCTAGACAAGCCCATCCAAGCCGTGAGTTGAACTGCGCTGAGCTCCCTGGTTAACATACCAGGACTCTGGAGTCACCCTTTACCTTATAAGACAGGGAACACTTCTGGGCAACATCCTCCAGGTCTGATGACACAAAGTCCACCACTGCAAAAATCGTGAGGGACAAGAAGTTGAAAGCCAAACCTGGACAGACCATGGACACCAAAGAGACGACCAGCTTAGACAAAACCCGCCTGTGTAACAACAGGTAAAATGTCTGATGTCTGTCCCTCTGCCAACACTTCAAATGGACAAACAGGATACCCCACAAACTGGAGTTCTGGAGTTTTTCCCATTGCAACCCAAATAGAAAGAGATCAGGGAGAGAAGCTGGTTAAAAAATCTCCCTGTTTGCTCAGGAGCTGCCCAGCACCACTGGATAGCTGGGGCCAGCCAAGACAGTCTCCCTCTGCCAGAGTACCAAAGTCTCAAGGGGCTAGTGACTGACCCAAAGTGCCAGCCCTGGGCATGCCAGGAAGGGCTAAAGCCACAGAAATTGGAAGAACTAGTGGCCCCACCTCTGCTCCCAGGAACCACTCCATTATCCGTTTTTTCAGAGATGTGTATGTTATTGGTTAAAAAAGGTAGAAAGCAGTTCTTACAGGGAAAACAAGGACTACAACAGCCATGGCTCCAGCACACACAGGATCTCACAGACCCCATTTAACCAGAATAAAATGGTGTTTTTTCTCAGGTCTTAATCCAGTTTTTCAGAGCAAGTAAAGAGCCAACCTGAAGTCTTTTCCTTCCCCTCTAAGAGCAGGAGGTGCCCAGGTTGCAGTGTGCCAGGAGCTTGAGCATTTTTCAGAGGGAAAAATGCACAAACCCTCCTGAAATACCTTCTAAAAGCCATAATTGATTGTCCCTCAAAGAGCCTCTGCAGAAACCCCTACCATGTACTAACACGCTCCTGGTCCTATGGAGAAGCCCTGACTCTATCATCTCCACCCAGAGGGACCCAGCAGATATCCAGCAAGGAGGGACATGGCACCAAGGCTTCCAGTGTGCCGGATGCCATGGGCACAGGGACTGGAGCTGCAGCCCCACAGCTCCTGCAGTCCATGCCCAGCGTGCCCACGGCAGACAACCGCTGCCCATGCTCCTTTTCGCTGTGGGGCTCTAAGCAAAGTCCCCGCTGCTGTTTCCACAGGGGCAGGAGGTGTTTTCCAGGGGCTGCCCCACAGCCCAGCCCGTCCAGGCTGGCATATGGGTCCTGCACAGGTGCCACCCCAAATGCGCAGGGGTCGACATTCCCCAACCCAAGACCCTGCTGACGCCCCATTACCCGTCCTGATGCCATTTGCCCTGAGCAGCTGGAGCATCTCTTCGGTGAGACCGGGGCAGAGCCCAGCTCGCAGGACCACCATGTCCCTGGCTACCCCCGGGCAGAGCACCACGGCCGGGGGAAGAGAGGAGACCTGCGGGGGAGATGG